GTTGTCCATTGATGAGGTGAGGGCACTTTAGTCCACTCGTAGATTCTGGCTAGGTGTATAGCTCTGTGATATGAGTCCAAGTCTGGGAGGCTCACTCCCCCTCTTTCGCAAGGTGTCGTCATGGTAGAGTGTGACAGTCTGGGGTGGGTATGTGACCAGATGAAGGTTGTGACGTTTTTACGCACCGTATCAAAGAACATCTTTGGAATAGCTATGGGCAGAGTTTGGAGGGGATATAGTAACCTTGGGAGTACATTCATTTTAATTATGTTAACTCTGCAAAACCAACCGAAGCCCGGTTTGTGCCATTTAATGAGGTCTGCGGAGATCGCTTTCAAGATTGGGAGGAAGTTTAGTTCGTATATGTGTTCTAGTTTACGCGGAAGGTATACCCCTAGGTACTTGATAGACTTGCTAGCCCAGCTGAAGGGGAATGAGTATTTGATTTGCATCTCTAATTCTGGTTTGAGAAATAACGGAAGGATTTCGCATTTGGTGAGATTGGCCTTAAAGTTGGAGAACGTGCTGTAGATCTCCATTTCCCTGAGAATTTGAGGAAGTGAGTGTGTAGGTTCTGCTACTGTGAATAAGAGGTCATCTGCAAACGCAGAGACTTTATATTCTGTTTTGTTGACAGAGAATCCCTTTATCTGATGGTTATCTCTTATTCCTTGTAGGAACGGTTCTAGCACTAGAATGAAAATTAGTGGCGAGAGAGGACAGCCCTGTCTTGTTCCATTTCGGATTTGGACCGTGTCAGATAGTTGGCCATTAATTCTCAGTTTAGCTGTGGGGGAGGAGTATATAGCTCCAAGCCACTCCAGCCATCTGTCCCCAAAACCCAAGCTTCTCATCCTGGCCAGCATAAAGGACCAGTCCACTCTGTCAAAAGCCTTCTCGGCGTCTATCGACAGAAGTAGACTGGGGGAGGCATTGTGTGTGATCCCTGCCCAGTGTATTAGATTTCATGAACTTTGTGGTGTTGTTCTTTGCCTCTCTACCAGGTACAAAATCCGCTTGATCCTCCTGTACTAGATCCGTGAGTAGGGGCTTTAATCTAGTGGCCAGTATCTTGGTAATATCTTTAAGTCTATGTTTATTAGTGAAATGGGTCTATAGCTCCCGCAGTTAGACAGGTCTTTTCCCTCTTTGGGAATCAGTGCTATGTGTGCTTCTAATGCAGATTGTGGGATAGTGTGTTTCAGGTTTCTTGTGTTAAAGGCTCTAAGGAAGGGCTGTAGTAAGTCTTGTGACAATGTTTTATAGTATCTGCCCGTAAAGCCGTCCGGGCCTGGGCTTTTCCCTAGGGGTAGCTGTTTTATGGCGAGTTTGAGTTCTTCCTCTGAGATGGGATCGTCTAGGAAATGTCTCATAGTAGGTGTTATGGTCCGCTTAATCCTCTCCTGGAGGAATGCTTGTATATCTGCGGGTTTGGGGGGGGGGATTTTCGGAGGATGTAGAGTCCTGTATAATAGTTTGTAAAGGCATTTAGAATCTCTGGCATTTTCGGGGAGATTGTTCCATCATGTAACTTAATTTCTGACACAAAGGTTGACGGCCTTTCTCGTCTTAGGGCTTGGGCCAACAGTCTTCCACTTTTCCCTCCTTTTCCCTCGTTTGTAATATGTGTGTTTAGTCAAGCTAATTTTCTTTTTTGCGTGGAGTTGTAGTGTGGTGTTAAGTTCTCAGCGTTTTGTTAACAATATTTTATATGTCATGATTGACAGGTCTCTGGTGTGCTGTTCCTCTAGTGCTTTACTCTCTCTTTGGCGTTTTTGGTCTGAGGCTAACTTTATGAGTATCCCTCTTAAGACACACTTATGTGCTTCCCAAACTACAGCTGGGGCAGTGTCTCGCTGTTCATTCTCTGAGAAATATTGTCTCAAGTGTTCCTGTATGGTTACTATGTTGTTAGAGTTATTTAGGAGAAGGTCGTTTAGTCTCCAATGGGGACGTATCTCTGGAATTGAGGGTATCGTAAGGTCTACCGATAGGGGAGCGTGGTCTGACCACGTTATCTGACCACGCGATGCGATTTTGAGTAGGGGTAGATGTTTGTGCTGAAGAAACAGTGTATCTTTTCAGGAGTAGCTACCCGTCGGCAGGGAGTAGAAGGAATAATCCTTTTTCATCGGGTGGAGGGTCCTCCAGCTATCATATAGTCTGGCTTCGTGTAGGATAGTGCGAAATCTCATACGTGCCGGGGTTAAATAGTCGCTGTGGGTAGAGGTGGAGTCTATTTCACTATCTAGGGTTATGTTAATGTCACCCCCTATAAATAGTATGCCTTCCTGAAATTGGGAGAGTTTATTCAGGATCTTTGTCATTGCCTGGCATTGTTTCTTGTTTAGGAGGTATAGGTTCGCCATCGTGACTTTCACATTTCCTATTTTCCCTTTCACAAATATATATCTCCCTGCTTCGTCTTGCAGTTGGTCGTTAAATTGGAAAGGGAGTTGATGACTTATCAATATTGCTACTCCCCTGGCCTTAGCTCCGACGTAGTGGCTAAAATAGCCATTAGGATATCTATGGCTTCTGAGAGTTGGGGCCTTGTCTTTCCTGAAATGGGTCTCCTGAATATACACTATATCAGCTTTATGTCTGTAAAAATCTGCTAGGGCTAGTGCTCTTTTTTCAGGTGTGTTTAACCCTTTTGCGTTTTGTGAGTGAAAGCGGATGGACGTCATGGTGAATCAGTTCAGAGTGTTATCTTCCCTCTAATTATTGTGTCAGGTTGTTTTGGTTAAGTGTCTTGCGTTCCGACAACTGTGTGCTTTTTTTTTTAACAGTACAACTAATATATAAGTATAACGGTAATATTAACAGTGTACACCCAGATCCAGGTGTAGAGTTTTTGTGAGTAGGGTCTAGATCTTAGTAAATTGCTGGAGCAGTCTACCCTTTTGGTTTGGGTCTTCTGACCTATTTATTTAACAGGGAGACGGTTGTTCCCTGAAAAGGAGGGGGAGGAGGCAGGGGGGGAAAGTGAGGATGGGGCTAGCAAGTTCTCTCTCTGTGCTGGAGAGGAACTACTGTCTGTAAGGGTTTGTGACCTATTTGTAGGCCCGATAGGCAAATCCACTTTTACATTTTGGGTTCTTTAGGAGACTGTGAGCATGAAGTTGGGAGGTCTTTTTTCTGTGTAACAGAAGGGGGTGGGGGAGGCTGCTGGTATGCATTGTGGAACCAAGGGGAATGGAAATTCTAGGGAGTATTTAGTTATACATCAGCATCTATGTCATTGCATCTTAATATTACTATCAACATCCTGTCTCATATAAGATCTATATTTTCCTGTTATATTCCATTTATATCTTCCCTGTATCCTTGGAAAATTGTTTTTGAGGGTTGTTAACTTTTGGGGAACTGGGCATGCTAGGACTTTTGCGCCAGTTCTACAGTGGTTATATAAACAGATAGACGTTCTGACTGGGGAGACTGAATTTTTCTACCAACAATATTATACTTTAGGTATCACATGTTCATACCTGCAGCCTACAACCTTGATACTGAGAAAATGCAATTCTCTTCTAGAGAGGTAAGTATTATACTATACATATTTTCAACATATCTTATACAAGTATACGACCTGTCTTCGGGTATCAGGGTGAGGTGGTTGCTGGAGTGACCCCTTTTTTTTTAGTAGTCTGTCCAGTTCATTCCTTATCTGTATTGTCCATTTAAGCCTCGTGGGTGCCGTCTGTCTGGCGATAGGAGCCTCTGGTCCGGTCTCTTTTTCTTCAAAGGTGTATATCCTCGCTGCCTCTGTGGGAGGGGATTATTTGACTGGTTGGCAAGAGGTTGATTCCAGTCCATGATCTGTGTATCTAGTAATTCCATCGCTTGGAGAAATGGAGCTACGTCTAGGTACGATGCTATGGAGTGTAAAATACCTTTATACTTCACTATGAGAGCAAATGGGAATTCCCATCTATATTTGATGTTTCGTTGTCTCAGCAGTTCCGTGACTGGCTTTAACGCTCTCCTGGCTTGAAGTGTGTACCAGAAAAGGTCTGGGTAAATCTGTATCTGGATAGCATGGAACAATAGGGGTTGGCACGTCTCCCTCAGATTTCTCAGTAGTTCATCCTTAACCGTGAAGTAGTGCATTCTGCAAAACACGTCCCTGGGGTCATCAGGTGTGGCGCCTCTCGGACGAAGTGATCTGTGCGCTCTATCCATGAGGATGACATTGTCCACTGGCTTCTCTAGAATTAGATTAAAGAGCTCTGTGAGCATTGTAGGGATATCTTCTCCTTGGTTTTCAAGTAGACCACGTATTCTCAGATTATTCTGCCTACCGCGGTTGTCCTGATCATCTACATATCTTTGGAACCCTGCTAGTGCAAGTGTTTGGGAATCTATTGTGGACGATAGAGTAGTGATTTGGGCCTGGATAACCTGCCTCTCTTCCTCCATATCGGTCACCCTCTGGTTCACTTGTTGTACTTCTGCCTCTATCTTTTCCACTCTGATTTGGAACGTTGTTTCTAGCTTACCTAGCATGCTTGCCAGATCTGCTTTTGATGGCAGAGATTTCAGTATCTCTCTGATGTCGTCCTCCCTTCCTGTGTCTTGGGATCTGCCAGACATGTCAGAGGGCGCTGGGCTGGCCGGCAGTACATCTGTTTCAGTGTCTATCGCCGCCATTTTGTTTGTCCGAGCTCCGGCCTCGCGGTCCGAGGATTCTTTGAAGAAGCGGTTTAAGGTGCCTGCTTTCGGGTTAGGGGTCTTGCCCATCTTCCCCTGGGTACCTCCTTGCCTTTTGTGGTTACCCATATCTTGATTTTAGTCTTCGATTAGCGTGCATTCGCTTTAGGGCCGCAGGGAGCTCTCTCAGTGCACTGCCATGCAGCTCCGCGGTTGGCCACGCCCCGTCCTATAACAACATTTTAACTTTTTAAACACTTTAACAGGTCACGTTACATTTTAACATAGGACCCTGTATTTGATAGCAGCTTCACAAGTCTTGCATCCATTGAACTTGGGAGTTTTTGGACAGTTTCTGCTTGAATTTGTTTGCAAGATGTCAGTATATCCTCCCAGAGCTGCTGTTTGGATGTAAACTGCCTCCCGCCCTCATAGATCTTTTGCTTGAGGATGATCCAAAGGTTCTCAATAGGATTGAGGTCAGGGGAGGATGGAGGCCACACCATGACTTTTTCTCCTTTTATTCCCATAGCAGTCTTTGATGCAGAGGTATTCTTTGCAGCATGAGATGGTGCATTGTCATGCATGAAGATGATTTTATTACGGAAAGCATAGTTCTTCCTTTTGTACCAGGGAAGAAAGTGGTCCTTCAGAAACTCCACATACTTTGCAGAGGTCATCTTTACACCTTCGGGGACCCTAAAGGGGCTGACCAGCTCTCTTTCCATGATTCCGTCCCAAAACATGACTCCACCACCGCCTTGCTGACGTCGCAGCCTTGTTGGAACAGGGTGGCCGTCCACCAACCATCCACTACTCCATCCATCTGGACCATCCAGGGTTGCATGGCACTCATCAGTGAACAGGCCTGTTTGAAAATTATAAAGGAGAGGAACGGTAAGTGGGAATGAAAGTGCTTAAAGTCGTGCAGGCTAGCCACTCCAAAATAGGGATCACTCCCAATCCCAAACGGTACAATCCAACAAATTAGTATAGTTAAAAAACATATACCACCGGGGGTGCCACAATCATACTATGGTTTATGTATTTTCATATGTTATTATAATATAATAGATTAGACAAATAGTTGTTTTGTCACATATAATGTTAAATATAAATGTGAAATGATATAATTATTTTTTATATATAATAGTGCTTGAGTGCTTTCACACTATTCCGTAGGACCCGGTGGTCTAATACGGAAGTGCGTTCCGGCACAAATTGCCAATAAAGTTGTTTGCGTTCCAAGGTGGAACACATGCGCATGCGCGGCTATGTGTATGGACCTTTTAGCCGCGATGCGCATGCGCGCAATGAAAAGAACGCGCGAAACACAGGATTTAAAAAGCCGGAAGAAAGAAGCCATGTACAGCTCTTGAAAAAGTCGGTGAGACGAAACGTGTCGAGCAGCTTAAACACCCCTACAGATATTTATTGGACAGATTTGGACTCCAGCTGAACAAGGACTGACCATTACTGAATCTGGAGAAATCGGATCCACTGTACAAAGGGTATTTAGCCCAAGGGGCTGACAAGCTTTTATAGCACAATTTAGACATATGTCCCTATTGTGCCAATACTTTTGTGAGTGTATTTTTTATCTTTTTTATTATTTGTATCTGTACTATTAAATACTTCACTATATACTGTTCCATTTTTATCTCTTTACATGATTCCTTGTGTCTACCATTTGGTAAATATAATTACACGTGTGTGATTGTGGCGCCCCCGGTGGTATATGTTTTTTAACTATACCTGTTTGAAAATTAGTCTTCATGTATTTTTCTGCCCAATGCAGCCGTTTCTGCTTTTGAGCATTGGTTAGTGGCGGCCGAATAGAAGGTTTATGCACAGATGCAAGACTCTTGAGCATTCTACACCTTGAAGTCCATGGGACTCCAGAGGCACCAGAAGCTTCAAATGTCTGTTTGCTGCTATGTAATGATATTTTAGCAGCTGCTCTATTGATCTGATGCATGGATCTGGCAGAAATCGTCCTCAATGTGCCTTTATCTGCACAAACCCGTCTGTGCTCTGAATCAGCCACAAATCTCTTAATAGTGCGACGATCATGCTTAAGTTTTCGTGAAATATCTAATGTTTTCATACCTCGTCCAAGGCATTGAACTATTTCACTCTTTTCGGCAGCAAAGAGATCCTTTTTCTTCCCCATATTGCATGAGAATGGTGCTCTGCTTAATAATGTGGAACACCCTCCTTAAGTAGTTTTTCCTTAAATTGGGCTCACCTGGCAATCTAATTATCACAGGTGTCCGAGATTGTTTTCAGTGATCAAACGAGCCCTGAGACACAATGCCACCCATGAGTTAAACTGAAAAACAGAATATTTAAAGGGACACTATAGTCACCTGAACAACTTTAGCTTAATGAAGCAGTTTTGGTGTATAGAACATGCCCCTGCAGCCTCACTGCTCAATCCTCTGCCATTTAGGAGTTAAATCCCTTTGTTTATGAACCCTAGTCACACCTCCCTGCATGTGACTTGCACAGCCTTCCATAAACACTTCCTGTAAAGAGAGCCCTATTTAGGCTTTCTTTATTGCAAGTTCTGTTTAATTAAGATTTTCTTATCCCCTGCTATGTTAATAGCTTGCTAGACCCTGCAAGAGCCTCCTGTATGTGATTAAAGTTCAATTTAGAGATTGAGATACAATTATTTAAGGTAAATTACATCTGTTTGAAAGTGAAACCAGTTTTTTTTTCATGCAGGCTCTGTCAATCATAGCCAGGGGAGGTGTGGCTAGAGCTGCATAAACAGAAACAACGTGATTTAACTCCTAAATGACAGTGAATTGAGCAGTGAAATTGCAGGGGAATGATCTATAAATTAAAACTGCTTTATTTAGCTAAAGTAATTTAGGTGACTATAGTGTTCCTTTAATCTTTGTGACACTTAAATAGAATTTGCATAATAATTTGAAACAGGGTGTATATTCAATAGTTGACTACGCATGCTTTTTTTCAATTTTTGTTTTCATTTTGGCAGTAAATAACAATTTTACTGTGTCTTTTTTAAATTGAATAGATTTCATCCCTGTTCTATAGTGTTTTATTCTTGCACGACACCTGAGAATCTCACTCCAACATTCTTACAGACTCCCTGCTCTTTCAATCAGATTCCTTTTCAGTATTTTCTATACAGAATCTAAAATTCAAGCAAGACATTGTCGTATAAATCTGCTCTTGATTTATGACCAATAACAAACTGAAGATCTTTTATTGTTCAGTGCTGGGAGCTATGTTTGCTAGCCAGCAGTTTGAAGTGGTTGACCAACAGATAAATTATAGTTAAAGGATTTAGACTATCTCACCAAACTCTTTTTATGTGGCATTTAGGAAGCTATTGATAATGGAAATTGGCTATCCATGTTTTTTTTTTTTTTTTTTACTAAAGTGCCAAGGGGTTCAGTGTGAATGGAGCACACAGCAAAACATGTATTGTAAAGCAGGACATGATCAATCTGTGTGTGTTTCAATGAAATACAGGAGATAAACATTATAATTCCTCATAGATACTTTTAAGGTTGATCTAATCCCACAAATGTTTCACACTATAAAAAAACAATAAAAAAACAAGTATTTATAAACTATACAAAGAAAGTCATGCATTGAAGGAATATAATAGGAAAGCAATGCTATGTAGATATTGCAATCCATTGGATAGGTGATAATGTAAAACATTAATTTATGATTTAGAACACAAGCCCCAACCTGTTTAAAAAAAATAAATAAATTAAAACAAAATTAAATTGCCACTGACACATTAATATACATATCCAACCCTTTCACCCTCCTCCCCTCGTCTGCCCTGTTTTTTCCCCCCAAACAGAACTAATTTTTCTTAATTAAAACCAACATGTTGACAAAGGAAAGAGCTGTAGTCAAGCTCCATGGCCTTTGTCAAGTTTGTCATTGGCCCTCTACGTGTATACTCACCTCCCTCCAGCTCCGCATCACATCTTGAAGCAGTGCACCACAGATCCCCGGTATTGACTATTGCATGATTGCAAGAGTCAACAGAGGTCCATAGAAAACTGTCATGCATGTGATTTCACACCAAAGAAAGGGCATTATTTAGAAACCTAAAGAAAAACTTATGAGAAAGAAAACCATCAAATGGTGAGTTACCAGGTCCCAGGGTCAAAAAAAGGTTTGGGGAGACTATAAAAACAATACCAGGGACCAATGGCTGCCACCAGTGGAAAGAAAAGCATAGCATATATCTGGGCAATCAGTTAGATACGTTTGTTAACCTGTTGTTTGAAATGCAACAAAATATTCCAGAGTGGGCTGGTAGATCTTTCTTGAGATGAGGAGTTCACATGTACCAGCCTCTGTTCTCAACATCCTCAACATCCCACTGCTCTGCCTAAAAGTGGTAGAAGTGAAGGCATTGATGGCAATTAAAATCTCTGTCATTGTAGTGATGTTACCCTACCTTATGCTTGTGTTGAAAAATTGGTTGCTACTTGGTGGATTTACTACTAATGCAATTTTACTGTGTTTGACTACATAGAACACATGCCCCTGTAGTATACAGTGGTTCAACACTTCGACAGTGCACAGTTTTGCTAACAGATACTTCATCGTCAGTGCTGTTGAACCTTGCCCACAAAACTACTACTGCCCATACCCAGTGCAGGCAGGTATGGAAAACACAATGCCCAATAAGCTTCTACGAACGACATAGTCACACCACAAGACTTGGCCAAGCAGAGTGAAACCACTATGAAAAGCATTTGAAAACAGTAGAACTAGCACCACAACATTACTACTGAACAGAAATGGCAGGCGTTATATTGAAAAAAAAATGCACAGTAAACTGCCACATACTGTTATTAAAAGGGGGAGCTTGTAATTTCCGAAGCACAAACAGTGGCACAGAAGAACACTGCAAATAAAAAAATCTGCCTTCTACTAAAATAAAGGTACCGGTAAATCACAAACCAGTAAAACAGTTCAAAGTCAGTGAATCAAAGTGGATGTAAGTGGCACCGGCCATAGCAGCTAGGCAAAAGTTCTTTTTAAAATTTAAACATTTTTAATTCACTAGGTTAGGAAGGGTACAAAAAGCAGATTTTACCCTTACTCTTGGCACTATTACTCTTGACTTGCGTTGTCCAGATAGCAAACAGCAGTCTCTAATAATATGACTTTAACAGCATACAATATTTTAAGTGCACAACAAAACACCAAATATTTTTGTCATACTAATAGACAATTCATTAGCTGAATATGAGTGACTCACTCACAACTTTGAAACCTAGTTTGACTTGTCATCAATGGTTAGTATTTGCAGGCTTCTTTATTTCAAAGTTCCCAATATTTTCAGAATTAACTACACAGAAGCAAGCAGCATTATAGGCCACCATGTAAATTAATTCATATATCACATTTTCTTCCTTAAAAGAACTGAAGGGGTTAACCTCCTACATCACTTTTATGTAAACTCTGTCTCCAAAACCAATTTAGCTAAATGAACGAGTTCATCTTGATGAGATAGATGAGATGCAAGGCGACATGAAGGAAGCGGAG